TGCAGCCTCTGTGGGTCAGGTATCTGGCGATGGTAAACTCAGTGTCACCTCCCTGGCTTCCATAGAGCTGAACTCCTCACAGGCTCTACGACAGTTCCCTTCTTAGTTTGCTTAGGTGACTGTTGGCTGCGGACTTGAAGTGGGTCTCCCACAAGGCTGCTCGCATCATGGCTGCTGGCTTCTTCTGGGCAGGAGGGTAAGAGAGACAGTGAGATACAGTGCTTGCCTGAGTGGACAGTCTGTGACAGACGCTTTAGTCCTTTGTAGTCTACTTGATGATAGCACTTCACTTAAAGACCTCACTTATTGTATCTGTACTTCTACTTATTTATTTGTTTTAGCCCTGACTCTGCTGGAACTTGATTTGTAGACCAGGCTAGCCTTGAACTCAAAGATCCACCTGTCTGCCTCCCGAGTGCTGAGATTAAAGGTGTGTGTCACCATCCCCAGCTTGTATCTTTATTTATAGTATGATTTTAATATGTATTTATTTAGTAGAGATAAGATCTTGCTGTCCTAGATCCCTCAACACCCCTGCCTTGGCCTCTAGAGAGTGTTTGCATTACAGGTGTGTATCACCATACCAAGTTTAAGACTTCATTTAAATTTAAAATTTTAACTTTATTCATTTATTTTTGACAACAGGGTCTCATGTAGCCCAGGGTGGGTTCAAACTCACTAGCCAAGGCTGCCTTGAACATTTTTGTTTGTTTTTCAAAAGGGTTTCTCTGTGTAGCTCTGACTGTCCAGAGACCAGGCTGCCTCTTCTTCCGAGTGCTGAGATCAAAGGCGTGTACCAACACAGCCTGCCCCAAACTTATTTTAAAAGGTAAGGTTTTACTATGTAGACCAGGCTGGCCTTGAACTCACAGAGATCCACACTTCTCTGCCTCCTAAATTCCGGGATCAAATGAAAGGCGAGTGCCACCACACCTGGATGCCTTGAACTCTTGATTCTCCTACCACTACCTCTAAAGTATGAGGATTGCAGACCTGTGAGACCATGCCCAGCAAAAGTTTGCTTTTCAGAGTAATTTTGCTTTTATTTATTATTATTTTTCTAATCTGTATGCATAGGTACAGGGATCTGCTCAGTCCAGAAATGGGCATCAGATCCCCTGGAGCTGGAGTTAGCCGTGTCTGCGAGCAACTGGAGGAGGATGCTGGGAACTGAACTCGGGAGAGCAGAAAGTGCGCTTAACCATTGAGCCATGACCCTATCCCCTTGGAGCGATTTAAATTCCTAGTGAGATTTAGCAGAGCAGGGAGTTCTCCCCGTCAGTCCTCCGCACAGACAGCCCTCCATGCTCTCAGCAGCCCACACGAAAGAAGTGCATGTGTACACTCAGTGAACCAACACTGGGAGTTCTCTGTTCCGTGTGCTGTATGGATTGACAGGGACATAATGGCATGTGACCACTCTTATATGCAGAATAGTTACTGTGTGCTAAAAAGCACTGTTCTGTTCATCACTCCTCCCTCTGCTATCGAGTCTCCCCTTTTCTAAGTGCTCTGTTGTTTGATCACATAAAATGCAGCATTTTTAGACTGACTTCCTTCACTTAGTAATTTACTGAGCTTCAGCAACTTGATAGCTCATTTCTGCTCAATGCTAATAATATGCCATTGTCTGGACAGTTGATTTACCTACTAAAGGGCAGCTTGGTGACTCCCAGAGTCTGCAATGAAGAATAAAGCTGATATAAACATTTTTGCATAATTTTCTATGTGCATATACGTTTTTGGCTCCCTTGAGTAAATACCAAGGAGCAGAAATGCTGTGTCTCACTATGCAAGCGTGGTTAGTGTTGTTAGAAACTACCCGCTGTCTTCTGAATACCTCCATGTTGCTTTCCCACAAGCAATGAATGGGTCTCCTCATGCTCATACACATTTGAATCATCAGTTCTAGGTTCTAGCCATTCTGATAAGTGTGTGATGTCACAGTGTTGTTCCAATTTTCAGTCCCTGGATGGCTTATGATGCTTACCACACCAAGAGCATAAATAGCAGACAACTCTCTCAAGAGGTGTTGCTAGAAAAAGAAATAAATGGTGCATTAGTTGTGGCAGGATGTGGAGTTAAAATAGTGGGTTTTTTGGTTTGGTTGGTTTTAATTTTATTTTTCCATGACTGGAAAGATGGTTCAGCAGTTAAAAGAGTGTAGTGTTCTTAAGGGGACCTGAGTTTGGTTCTCAGCATGTTTCAGGTTCACAGCTGTCTTTAAGTCCAGCTCCAGGAAAACTAACACCCCCTTCTGGCCTCTTCAGGTACAGCATACACACAGAAACTCACACATAGACATGGTTTCCAGTCTGAATAAAGTCTGGGTTGTTCTTATCCACAACGGGGATCTGTGCATTGAATATGCAGCTTCATCTTATGTTACCCACATACCTCCTAGAGTACTGTGGACAACAAGGCTGGAGTGTGGAAGCTAAAAACCCAGGGAATTCTTTATGTGAACTCTCTGGTAGCCCTGCTGGGATCATAAGTGTGAGAGCATCACAGTCCAAGGTTTCCAGGGCACACACCTGTGCATCCTCCAGCTGCCCACGGCAGCCGTGCAGCTGACTTAGGCAGATGAAATCGCTCTGCTTCATCGAGAGCAGACATTCTCTTGGCTCACACACAAGCCTCCATCTGCTCAGAGCAGGCGAGCTGTCAGGGAAGAGACCTGCACGAGGCAAACTGCCCAATAACCCCAATTAAAAAAAAAGTGCCCAACTGGGGCAATCACTTAAGCCATAAATAACGCCTGCTGCTGCCTTCTGGTCTCACTCTGCATCGCAGCAGCACACTGAAATATGCACCAAACACAGACACAAGAGCCCATAAATGGGCTCATTAATCTAGAAAAGCAGATCCCCACATCTGTGTCTGCTGGTCCATTGAGGACATGAGAGTCTTAGCTCCTGGAGACAAAGATCAAGACATGGTAGGATCCAGCTCAGGCAGGAGAACTGGTCTTATTACTGCTCAGCTTGTGACCGGTGAACTGAGACTGGCCCATCCAGCCCCCACCCTCGTCTGGATCAGGGTTACAAGTACTTAGCACTGCCCTGGGCAGTGATGGGGAAGCGAGCAAGGCCTCAATACCTCCAAACTGATTGTGGATCTTCTCCAGGAAGGATGAGCTAGTGAATGTCGGCTGCTATAGCAGGAGAGAAGCCTGAATATTTATCCTGGGTTAAGTGCAGGATCATGGTTAATGAGGACCTCTGATTGCCTTTCAGCTAGCACTATCAAACGAAGCATGAAGGTTAAAATTCATACTTGTATTCCATTGACTGCTGCTTCAGCGGCTTTCCGAGGCCCCTGCTTCTGCCTTCCCCATAAAAGAGAACTTTTACCGGGTTCCTACACAGAGCGTAGCAGGTAGAATAGAGGATTGTGGACTACCTCAGTTTCCCCTTAACATTTATATCAACACGGGATCTTACTGATATTCCCCCCCCCCCCCGAAGGGATGAGTGAAATTTCCTGGTGCGAGTAGGAAGGAAACACGAAACACGTAACAAACCCACTTAGTTTATTAGAGGGGCCGTGAACAGGCCCGGAGAAGTCTGTGCAGAGAGAGAGCTGAAGATGGTGCCTTCAGCTTTTAAGGGCTGCCTAGTCGGTGCACATAGGGGGATGGCGTGGTTCTGCCATACGCAGATGACGGAGTTTAAGCACGCGCGCAAGGGCTTACTCAGCTGCGTCATATGTAGGTGATGCAACTATGCTGCGCGTGGGTCACGTGGGGTCCTTTAAGATTTCCTGGGGCCATTAGACACCTGGAACCCGGAAGTGTCAGCCACGTTGTGTGGCTGAATCCTTAAAATGAGGAAAGGCTAAACAAGAGCCCAGAGCATGATCTAGCTGAGTCTGGAGCTAGGGATAGATGCTTTCTGATAGTACTGTGTGCCTTAACAACGCACTTGGTGGCGTCCAACAGAAATGCCAGCTCAGTTCTGGCCACCAGAAGCTCCCCCACTCCCCCACCCCCCGCAAAATAAAAGGTGTCAGCAGAACCAAACTACCTCTAAACCCACTGAAAGGAATCCTTCCTGTGCCTTGCTAGCTTCTGGCTGCTGGCACAACTCCACCCTTTGCTGCCCTCACACTTTGCTGTGTTTCTGTCTTCCGGTCTTAGAGAGATTCCAGTTGCCTTTAGTTAAGGGGGCCCACCCCTGCCGAGTGGTGGCGCAGGTCCTTAATCCCAGCACTCAGGAGGCAGAGGCAGGCGGATCTCCTCTGACTTCCAACCCAGCGTGATCTACAGAGCGAATTCCAGGCCAGTCACGGCTACACAGAGAAACCTTGTCTGGAAAAACAATAAAAAAAGGTCCATCACAATGACCTCATCTTAACTTGATCACAAAGCTAAGGTTCTTTCTCAATAAGATCACATTCACTAGTACTGGAAGTTAACACTGCACATTTTCCGAGGGAGGGCACAGTTTGATCTCTATCACCCATGTCTGGCCTCAATGCTGTTGATTTTTCTGCAATACCAACTCCTTCTCTCGTCCAGAGTCACAGAAGTGCTCCGAGGGCAGTATGTTTTCAGATCTTGGCCAGCAATGGAAGTACACAGCCAGCAGTGAGATTTCCAGATGTGGGGTCTTCTGCTTGCATCAGCCCCTCTTCAAAGATATTCCACTCTCCTCTGCATGGTGTCAACGTCACAGTTTCCTAAACAGGAGCAAATTCTGTTACATAATTAAGTGTGGGTCTTTAAATGAAAATAAGGACAAAAGGGTGTGGCATAGTACTAAATCCAGCGTAGAACTTTAAGAAGCACGCCCTGGCGGAGAAGAATTTCCCTACACTCGGTGGCGCCAAGAACCTCCTCTCAGTCAGGGCTGTGAGTGGTTCTGGGTTGGGCGCAGGCTAGGACGCGCTGAGGCCACCAGGGGGCGCGCGAGGGCCCGGGAGTTAGTATAGGGCGGGAACCCGGGACAGGGCGGGAACCCCGGGACAGGGCGGGCTGGGCGGGCAGGGCGGGGCCCTGGGCCACTCTGGTTGGCTGCGACTCGTACTCACTATCCACCCCATTTTAAACTTGGTCCGGCCGGGCGTCTCCCTTTTTCCGCCGCGGCGTGCTCCTGGTAAGTAGTACCCGTCCTGCGGAACGCAAGATCCCGCCACGTGGCCTCGGGGATACCCATTGCGCTAGCTCCGCAGGCAGGTCCGGGCCCGGTGCGTGTCTCCCTCGGTGTAGGACTGGGGCTCGGCCTCGGCGCTGCTCGGATTTGTCTCCTCCGGGGTGGAGACGCAGAGTCAAGATCGTCCCCGGGTCCTTGGCACACTCGGGGCTCCCGCCCGCCCAGTAGTCTGGTGACGGGGACATCGCCTATTTTGGAAGCGAATGAGATCAGTGATCAAGAGTAGCAGGGATAATTCCAATGTTAGCAAGGAAAGGAGGTAATTTCACCCACGCAGCTGCGTTCTCGCCACAAGTGCCCTTCAAATGCCACTTTATACAGAGACTTTTTTAAAGGTTTGAGGGTGGCCTCTGAGAGCCGATGACTGCAAGCGAGTCAAGCAGGGCGCTCTGCGCACCCACAGTGGCAGGATTAGCCTGCGCTTTGTGCTGCTCAGCCTTCCTCTGACACAAACCCAGCCTGCCTGGGTTTTGTGTCCTGGGCAAAAATCTGAGCCGCTGGGTCCACACTTGTACAGGGTACTAGATACCTAAGTTCTGTGCTCTATGATGTAGAAACACTTTGTTTCCCGGGAGAGTTCCTAAGACCAGGCATAGGTGTCTTCTGAGCACCTGGGAGTCCTGCCTGCTCACTGCCGCTTTAACATTTATGAAGGTCTAAATTTAGACGTGAGTGAACGAAGGAAAGCATTGCTTGGGTTTTGTTTTTTAATTGGGATGTGAACTTTGTGCTTCTTGGGTTCTCATTCTGGCCCAGGGAGTCTTTCTGTTCTAGTACTGTAAGTGTTGGGACTTAGGGTACAGCAGTACAGAGTCCCTACGCCTCGTGAAACCTATTTCAGAGTGAAAACCTTCTGGGCTATTGTGAACAATGTCCAGTATTCCCTATCCAATTGTGATGGATTCAGTTGCAACGATGGCACAAAGGGAACAAAATAGACTCCCAGCTGTCAGAAATGTAAAGATCACAGCTTTGTACAGGAGTTTTGCTCAGAGGCAGGACTTAATGTCATCAAAGACAGCCCCAAAAAAGGTGGTTTGTGCCTGTGGTTTTCTTTCTAACGGGGTGGGGGTGGAGGGACACTATGGCCTGGGACTTGTACCATTGTTGATGCTTTTTTTTTTTTCTTGAACAGGTGCTGTGTGTAATGCCCAGGGTGTTAATGAGCACAAGGTATGAGTTAAATGAAACGATGTTGGGCACAATTCCAGGAACAGAATTGTTGGCCAAGGATGAGAACTCTAACCTGATTGGATATGCTGCTCTGATGGGTTGAAGGATTTACCTGAGGCCAACTTAATAGGAATTTAATGCAGTCACATCACCGCTATATACAGGGACAAGGGGACCCATTTAGTGAGGTGGTTTAGCAGTACCACACATGACCTTTGAGTTTGATTCCTGGGCCCTATGGGAGAGAGTTATCCGTGGACCTTCGTGTGTGTGCTATGGCACCTGTGTGCACACACAGAATAATAAATCGGGTGTTGGTAAATGAATACTTAAAGGGCAAGTTGAGTTAGGAAATGTACTGGATAGCACACTGAGGATTCTGTTTATGCAAGGCAGTTAACTGTCATCAGCAAGTTACTATAGTGTTGTTGGTCTAATTAATTATCTCTGGTATTTCTCCTGCAGCCCTGGTGCTTGAGATGAACAAGTACAACTTCGAGAAGAAAAGGTATGCAATTGTATTTAGAAACAAGGTTTTCGGTTTCTTTGGCCCCCTCATACTGAAACATTAATTGAGGCAGTCCCAATTGTAGATAGAAACATGTGAATGTTGTCCTATAGAATTCATTTCCGTTAGTTTACTGAGTCAGCGCTAGCCTGAAACTTGCCACAATATTAACACAAAAGATCTTTAAGTTTTTCTTTATAATTTTTTTTTGCCTGCATATACCATGTGCCTGCAGTGCCCATCGAGACCAGAAGAGGGCATCAGCTCCCCTGAAACTGGAGTGAAAGTTTGTGAGCTGCTATGTGGGTGCTGGGAATTGGAACTAGGTTCTCTAGAAGAGCAGCCAGCCAGGTCTTGGTCTTTTAACTGCTGAACCATCTCTAGCCCTAAACTTTAGCAGCTCGGGAGAGTGAGGTGTTTGGGATCCACTGGGTGTCTGGGCTCAGCACCTGCCACGTATGCTCTGTAGTATGTTCAAATGCCTTGTAGAGAAAAGCAAATTGGAATTTAAATTTTTTTTTAGAGAATCTCATGAGTCTCGAACATATATACATGGAGAACTTCACACTCTCGTCCAGTGTGAAGCTGTGGCACCCTCAGACATTACTGGGGTAAACTTGGCCTCTCGATGGCTCCTTTGGGTCTGGTGGGATGGGGTTGGGTGGTCATAATCTGTCCCTGTCTCAGCACATGCTAGCCCAGCTGCAGGCATATTCGGGAGACAACCTGGGCCCAGCTACTCTCCCATCCCTGGCGTCATGCTGCCGGCAGCACAGGAAGCACATGCCTCTTCTCAGGGAAGAGTGTTGTTACTATAGAGACAAGCCTGGCCCAGTGGAAGAGCGCATCAAAGGATTTCCTTGACTCCAGCACGGGAACCTGGCGGTGGGGCCCTGGGTCCTACCCCTTGGCCACTGGTCTCTGGTCTCACCATAAATATTCTTGCTTCTATGTTTTTTTTTTTTCTCCAGGGAAATGGCGGTGAAATTACCTGACGGTGAGTAAATCAGATGTTCCTGACAGTTTGCTCAGGTCTGCCATCACCTGCCAGCTGACCTAGCCTGCTTTGAGCACCCGTCTCCAACCCTGCTCATTTAGAAAAGACGCCCCCTCACACACACAGACATCATGCAGTGTTGCAAAAGTAGCCCTGTAGTGTGTCCACGGCGCTGCCTGAACTTGACCTGAGCAGATAGCCCCTAGGAAATAGAAACGCCCCCCCCCCCCCGACTTTTTCAGGAATTGTGAGGCCTGTTTCCCATTCCTCACACTGGCCCCTTCCAGGTGACATCATAATCACACCCTGATTACATCAGGCACAGACCCCTCCTGGGGGCCTGGCTGGGGCTTCTGTTTTGCCCATTAAAAGAAAAAAAATTACCCACAAAGGAAGAATCTGCTCTAAACCTTCAAAGGCCCTGGATAACTCACAGCTCTCCCCAGCCAAGATACTGTTCCCTGCAGCCCTGCAGTTGGTGCCCAATAAACTATTTCCTTGTCTGTGGAGTGGTCTTCTGTGGTTTCATTATGTCAGCTTCTAAGTTCCAGAAGGTTGGCTTTTTTTCTGCTGCCATGCGCCCACAAACACAGATTTAATGTGTATGACTGCCTGCATATATGCCTAGTACCTGCAGAGGGCGTTAGAGATTGTTAGCTGCCATGTGGGTACTGGGACCAAATCTGGGTTTCGAGCCATCTCTGCAGCCCCACTTTTGAGGGTCTTTAATACTACATTGTAGCAGGGTGGTGGTGGTGCACGCCTTTTAATCCCAGCATTCTCGGAGTTCCAGGACAGGCACCAAAGCAACCTTGTCCCGAAGAAGCAAAAAAGAAAAAATGCATTGTATTAAATAAGTTGGGCAAATATGTGTGTGTCCTGTGGTAGAGATAATTGCCATCTATATGAGAGTGCCACACCTATTTGGCCATGTAAGATGGTGGTTAGGCGTCTACTGACTTGTCAAAGGGAATCATTTAGGTTTTGGGTCATAAGGATTCAATTGTGAGGATATGAATGCCTCGTTACACAGTTTCCACCACATTCCTACAGTGACTTGGGATTGTTGTCAACAAATACTAAGCAGTACAGTAATTAGAAGAGGGAATGAAAGCCCAGCAAGAGGGCGGCAGGGAAATAAATCACGACATTCCATGCTGTCAGCTGGGGCCTGTTTGGCTCTGAGCTCCCTAGCAGCAAAGGGCCAGCTCTCAAAAATGGCTGTGACAAGGGAGCATCATTTTAAAACAAGAGGGGAGAAGCCATCTGCACTTAAGGCTTCCCAAGAGTGAGAGCATGCTTTTCCCTGTAATCTGGAGCACTGGCTAACTAAAGGAGGATCAAGAGAAAGTGGAAATGACTGGGTTTGGCCCCAGAGTGGGCAGGCAGGCTAAGGTTTGTAGGAAACATGGATCCGCTCATCTGGATGTCAGAAGCCAGGCTAACACAAGACAAACAAGCCATGGTGGGACTGAACAAGACCAGTCAGGGGTGTGCTTGAAGGGCTTTTTATTCTGTATTAAAAGATTGTGTTGGCAGGATTTACCTTGTATTTATAATCTGAAGACTCCTGGTTCCCTATTCTCTGATAGAATTGTGGTTTATCAGGGGTCATACAGCCAAGGTTAAACCGCCTTCTTATGATGCCCGCTGTAACTGCAAGGAGCCAAGAGTCCTCACCCTCCACCATTGACAACTGCATCCTCAGGACTGCATCTCTTTAGGAGACAGAGATCAAATTCAGAAATGTTTGGTGTGTGCCAGCTTGATTTTGTTTCTGGGAAGAGAATGAAGCATTAGTATTGAACAGGTCCCCTGGCCTGTTACCCATAATCTATAGCAGAGTAGCACCCACTCTATAGCTTATCAGCCTCCCTCGGAGGCCCTTGGGAAATCATAGTTTGGAACAACATGGTAGCTACCGTTGACATGTGACTTCAATACTTGAAATGTGTCCAGCATGTTTGGTGTGTGCTGTGTTGCAGAAATCAGATGGGATGATGTGGAAAAGAAAGATTCCAATTTTACAGTGATTATCATTGGGTTGAATGAAACAGTTTGAAATTATGCAAATATGATTTGTATGTCTATTGGACAATACTGGTCTAAGATACAAAGCTAAACATAGTCATGGAAATAAACAGTGGCCCACAGTGTAATAGAACAACATTGCTGTTCTACCACACAGACCCTCAGGGAATGGTAAATTAGCAGTTAAGATGCAGGGTTTGCAGGGAAGCAACTATCTTTTCCAAGGGTAGAATTTGAGAGGCTAGTGAGCCAGTACTGCTTGGCCCAAATCCTCTCATGCAGCTTGCAGCCCTGATGACATTAAAGACTTCGGTATATTTGCTAAACAATCTTTTGTTCTCACCCAGTCTGCATAAACGTTTGTGTGCTCATTAGGGAAATCAGGAGCCAACGTGCAAGCTTCCCTAGTGAAAGTCAGATGCAGAATCCTGGTTCCTCCATTTATATGTGTGTGTGTGTGTGTGTGTGTGTGTGTGTGTGTGTGTATGTGTGTAGTACTGCAGTCTTCCAGGCATTTTTACAGACGGAGAGAAATTGGGAGAGGTGGTACATAAATACCACCAGAACTTGTAGAAAGTATTTTTTTTAAAAGCCTTATGTTAAGCAAAATGTTTCACAAGATTCTCTTTCCCTCATTTTCACTTAACTACGAAAAGCAATCCTGTGAAGATTCCCTTTGGAGTTTTGCTACTAATATTTTGTTTTCTTCTGCAAAATGGTAGGGATTCAATCCCAGGGCCTCAGGCATGCTATTCCAACTAGCTATCTCTAATCCCAGCACTTGGAGGCAGAGGCGGGTGGATCTCTGAGTTCAAGGCCAGCCTGGTCTCCAGAGAGTTTTAGGACGACTAGAGCTACCTACACACAGAAACCTTGTCTCGAGCCACCGCCCCCTCCCCCAAAGTGATTTCCCATAGAGTTACAGCTCTGGCCAGTCATTCTCTTAACAGTGAGGGATTTCTTCCTTTGGTTTTCACATTTTATTAAACAGGGGCTCTTAACTGGGGAAACACTCGGTAATATCAGGAGACATGTGATTTTCATAACTGGATGAGGGATGACTGTCTAGTGGGTAGTGACTTCAGGTGCTACAAGGTCTCCCACTAGGGCAGCCCCTATAACAAAGGATGGTTCTGACCCAAAATGCCAACAGTGCAGGAGCTAATAAATGCTGTCTTAGAAAACGTTGCTTTCCACCCACCTGCCGAGGTACCAGTGTTACAGGTTACTCCCAGATGACCTTATATTGCACAACACTTATAAAACTGTGATTAATCACTACTTCAAGCCGAGAGCTATACTGCTTTTCTTCCAGTTTCCTCAAAAGTCAGCATTAGTGTTAACTAAATGGTGACCAGAAATCCCATGCTCACTGCAAACTCCATGGATTCTTACTCAGAGCTGGTCTTAGCTTGATCAATGAAGTGAGGCTTGCTCACACTGGCCACCAGACTGTTAGGAACGGACAAAAGAAACTTAGCCTAAGTACTGCCATTTTGTTTCAGACTCCATTTTAATCATAAGGTGAAAGAAGTTAAGTTCAAGTTCCCAGGGCCTAGGGAAGCTGGGAACTTTCTAGTACCTGACCAGCTTCCTCAGTAAACAATTAAAATAGCCTGCAAAATAGCTCGTTATTCTTCTGTTCCCCCAAATAGTAGATGTTTCTAATCACAAAGAACAGATAGGTTTGATTGGTTGTACATTTAACATAGATCGACCACGTAAGGAAAGTCCCTAATCCCTGAAGTTTGACTGATGGAAAATTGTAACTGTAACTTGGCACAGATGGTTGTGGGGCTTGTGCTTAAATACGTGCTGAGATGAACGTTTAGGGACATGATCAGCTCCCGAGTCTGTGCTATTGTCCCTGACTGATCAGTTTCTTCCCCCTTTCCTCATTTTCCTGCTGCCCAATTCAATAACAATCTTGCTTTGTTTGGACTCTGGTGCCTGCCTGGGTTATTTCAAATTCTTGGATCCTAACATTTGGGGATGCTTCTGGGATCTGAACACCTACTCAGCAGAACCCCAAAAGACAAGGACTGTTTTTCCATCATTTGGACTTCTGGAAGTATTCTGGTTTCTGCTTGGCACCTCTCTGGAGCCCAAGAAAGGAGAAACTGGATGCAGTACAGGAGACGTCCTGGCCTCTCACTGGCTCCTGTAAGGGAACACCCGGTTCTGGATCTGTGCCTCCCTTAAATGTGTTTGTCTCGTCTTGTCAGTCTGTCCATCACTGTCAGTGTTGGGTTTTGGTTTCACTTTTCTGTCATTCTCTGTCTTGTTGCATACTTTGAAACCAACTTCCTCAGCCCTTACACCCCTGGACCTTGTCTTACAGGGTTTCAAGTATTTACAACTGATACCTAGGGAGACACTGTCTTCCCAGGGAAGCTCCACACGCTCTGTCAACTTGAATGGCCAGCCCTCTAGGTCGGATGGCCATTCGAAGGCTCTTTTAACCTGTCTAATCCAACTGTGGTAGGAACATCATTTTTGGGTCCCTGGGTCATCTGACCAGGTCCCTTACATCACAGCCTGGTGTAGGAGTCTCCAAAATAGCTTAGACCTCATCTTCCACCTAAAAAATGGCTCTATTCTGTCCCTTCTCACTCTAAAGCCCAGGGCGGCAGTTTTGCCTACATCTAAGGAAGAGATGTCACTATCTTATTCCCTCCCGCCTCAACCATGGGTGCATCACCTCCCCCCACTCTCTACCCTGACCTCAGTTCTCTTCCAGGAACCCAGTCCTGGGACGCCACCCCCCCCCCAGAAGCCTTTCTTATCCCCTCCCCATACTCACTCTGGTTTGATTCACCAACCCTCCACACATTCATCCTCTGCGCCCCCCCCCGCCTCCCTTCAGCAGGCAGGCACGGCTGACAGAAGGGAGAGGAAATAATCTCTCTGGCTCTATACTCCATTCGCTACCAGTGATCTCTATAACTGGAAAACCCCAAATCTCCTTTTTCTGAGAAACTTCAAAGTTTAATCTTCCTTTTAGAAACTATTGGGACGACTGCCAACAGCTCCTGCAGGCCCCTTTTCCTTATGAGGAGAGGGAAAGGATTCTGAGGGAAGCTAGGAAATCGGTGCCTGTGAGAACAGGTGGCCCAGCACTAGTCTGGCGATCACTGAGGCTGTTTCCCCATCATTCCACCCTGACTGGAACCCCAACACTGATGGAGGTAAGGACCCCTGAAAGTCCACCACCAGACTCTAGTGGGGGGTGTCTGCGCAGCTGCTAGGTGCCCTAACAATATGTCTAAAATTAATCATTCTGTAGGAAGCAAATGAGTCTCTTAGAACAGCTAATGGAGGTCTATTGCTCCTATTCTTCCATTGGCCCCAAAGCAGAAGAAAACAGGAGAGCCATAGCACTGCCTTTGTGCCCCCATCGGCTCCCAACATTAGAGAAGAAACTACAGAGGCTTGAGGGATTTGAGGGAGAGAATCTCTCCAAACAGACAGAAATAGCCACTGAGGTCTATAATCAGGGAGATAAACAGGCAGAGAAAACTGTTAGGGTGATGATGGCCACTTTCCAAGAGGAACAGAGATCCTGGCCTTGGGGGCCCCAATTCCCTCATCTAAAACGACTTCTAGAACTTAAAAAAAAAAAAGACCCTTCACCACTTCAGAGAAACCAATGTGCATTTTGCAAAGAGAGGCCACTGGAAACACGAGTGCTCCCGACACAATAAGCCCAAGCCAGAAGTCTTCCACTTTGTAGAGGACTGAAGGTGTTGGGGCTGAGTCCCTCCCCAAGCCCAGGGTAACTTAACAGTAGAGGGAAAGCCAACTGACTGCTTGGTTGACACTGGGACTCAGCTGTCAGTCTTGCAACTTCCAAAAGGACCTCTAACCAGTTAACAAACCTTAGTTGGGAAGCTGCCGGAACCACGCCGTATCCCTGGGCTACAGCATGGCAACGGACCTAGGAAGAGGTACTGTAGCTCCTTCATTTCCGCCATCTCTGAATGCCCATACTCTCTCCTTGGTCATGACTGGCGACACAAAGTATGCACAAGGATGATCGTCCAAGAAAAGGGGATATTTGTCAAACTCCCTAAGGAAGAAGAATTTGACATCCAAAAGTATGACACATTTGTGACCCTGACAAATGCCTTCTCATCCCCATAGAAAAGGAACTAGGGCCCAACTCCCCTACACTACAGAAATTTCAGAGAAACTTCCCCCCAAGTATGGGCTGAGACTAATACACAGGGTTAAGTCAAGCCCCCGGCCCTAGTACTTGTCCAGTTGTAACCATGGATGGATCCCATCCAAGTCAAGTAATATCCAAGTCTTCAGAAACCCAGGCAGCTACCAAACTTCCTATCAACCATCTACGGGATGTGGGAATATTAATTCCTTGCCAGTCCCCATGGAATGTCCCCTTGTTACCTGGACAGGAAGCCAGAGACCAGTCCAGGACCTGAGGGAAGTCAACAGGAGGGTGGAGGATATCTGTAGTTGTGTATTATTTGTATTTTGATAAATAAATCTTTCCTAAAGACCAGAGGCAAAGCTAAAGCCACTAGAGATCAGGCAATGGTGACACACACCTTTAACCCCAGGATTTGGGAGACAGAGTCAGGTGGATCCCTGTGAGTTCAAGGTCACCCTGGGCTACACAAGATCTATGCAGAAATAAATCCAGGTATGGTGGCCTACCCCTTTAGTCCCAGTACTAGGGAGTCACAGCCCCCTAATCCCAGCACTACAGGGAATATAAAATGAGAGGAGAGATATGCTGTCTGCTTAATCTGTGGTAGCCCAGCCTTGGAAGAGGTAAGACTTCTCTAGTAGCTTGGCTGCTTTGCTTTTCTGATTTTCAGGTGGAACCCTAATCTCTCTCTCTCTCTCTCTTTCTCTCTGGGTTTTTACTATTTATGCTGTAGCTATCCACCCCATGGTAGCCAATCTGTGTATCCTTCCCAGCATGTTGTCACCAGAAAAACAGGCTTATATAGTTCTGGTCTTATCTTCAGCATCTCCCTGGCCCCTCAGAGCCAACCTCTGTTTGCTTTTGTTTTTTTTTAAATATATTTATTTATTTATTATGCATACAATATTCTGTCTGTATGTATGTCTGCAGGCTAGAACAGGGCACCAGACCTCATTACAGATGGTTGTGAGCCACCATGTGGTTGTCGGGAATTGAACTCAGGACTTTTGGAAGAACAGGCAATGCTCTTAACCACTGAGCCATCTCTCCAGCCCCCTCTGTTTGCCTTTGAATGGACTGACCTGGAGACTTGTTTCAATGGACACTTGACTTGGACTCACTTGCACCAAAGATTCAGAACTCTCCCAGTCTTTCTAACGAAGCTTTAAATGCAGATTTGTGTGAGTACTGCCTTACTTTCTCCCAGGTTGTGCTTCTGCAATATGTGGGTAACTTATTGACTGTGGCATGAATGAGATGGACCACGAAGAAGCTACAGAGGGACTGTCAAGAACTCTGGAGATGCTGGGATGTTGTGTCTGCAAAGAAGGCACAACTCTGCACTCAGAAAGCTTTATACCTGGGGTTTGACCTCCAAGAAGGAAAGAGCTCTCTGTCCATGCCAAAGACGCTACTTTGGGTATAGCAATGCCAATGACAAAGAGACAAATAAGAGAGCTCCAGGGAACGGCAGGGCACCGCAGACTCTGGATTGGCTGAAATTGTCAAACCTCTGTATGAGGTGGCAAGTGCTGGAGGGTAAGTCCCCATGAACCGAGTCAGAAGATAAAGCTCTGCTATTGACACCAGCACCCGCATTGGCCTTGCCTGGTGTTGCCAAGCCTTTCTACCTATCTGTAGATGAAAAGAAGACCAGGGCTAAGGTGGTATTAACCCAGAAACTTGGACCTTGACGTTGTCTTGTGGTCTACTTACCAAAGAAATTAGATCCAGTGGTTGGTGAGTCAGCTTGCTTGAGAATTATTGCAGCCACTGCCCTTCTAACTACAGATGCTGGCAAACTGACTCTCGAACAGAATTTGACTATTACCACCCCCACGTAATACAGAGCCTTATTAAAAAACCCACCAATCGATGGATAATAAATGCCAGGTTAACCCATTCCCAAGCTCTCTTGCTAAACCAGCTCTCTTAAAGTTTCTATTGCTATGAAGAGACACTATGACCATGACAACTCTTTAAAGGAAAACATTTAATTTGGCGCCTTAAAGTTCAGAGGTTCAGTCCATTATCATCCTGACAGGACATGGTGGTGTGCAGGAAAACATGGAGTTGAGAGTTCTACATCTTGCAGGTAACAGGAAGTGAATTGGGACACTGGCTGTGGCTTGAGCGTATATGAGACCTCAAAACCTGCCTCCAGCAAGGCCATACCTACTCCAATAAAGCCACACTTCCTGATAGTGCTACTCCCAATGAGTTTATGGGGAGTCAATTACATTCAAACTACCACACCAGCCAAAATTACTTTTGCTCAGGCTACCACCCTAAACTCAGCCACTCTGCGCCCAGAAACAACTGAGGGTCCTCTGCATAACTGTTTGGAGATCCTCACCCACTTCCAGGGTCCAAGACCCGACCTGACTGATATTCCATGGGACTCCCCTGATCTAGAAATGTTGCTGATTGTGGAAGGAGGAAGAAAGTTGGCTGGGGTGGTGGCAGAGACCTTAGGGAAAGTTTTATGGGCACAAGTTCTCGCCACTCCCTGGGGACATTAACTCAGAGGGCAGAGCTGATAGCTCTGGCCCAGGCTCTCAGATTAGGGAAAGGAAAGACGGTTAACCTTCACGCTGACAGCCAATATGCCTTTGAAACCATACACATTCAGGGGGCCATTTACAAGGATAAAGGACTCCCAACAGCAGAGAATAAGAACCATTGAAAGCAGTCAAGAGATTTTAGACTTGCTGTCAGCCCTATGGACCCCAAGCAAGTCTCCATGTTTCACTGCCTTGAACAGCAGAAGGGAAACTCGCAAGAGGCAGAGACAACCAGAAGGCTGATCAGGCAGCCCGACACCTGCCAGCCACCACACTGGTGACCCTCCCAGCATCAGAGCTCTGGAATCCCACACACACTCTGCTGGAGACAATGACTCTTTTCAAAAACTTCACTATATCTCCCTCAAGAAAGGATGGAGATACGTGTCAGATGACAGAATCATTCTTCCCCAAGTCTTTGGAGAAATTTTAGCCAGACAATTTCTTGAAAGTACATACCTAGGTAAGACTAAGTAAGCTAGCCTCTCTTTTAAACAGACAATACCTTATTCCCTCTCTAAGCTAGATCCTCCAAGATATTGTTTCCAAGGGTTCTACTTGCCAGGCTATAAATCCTGCACTTCAGTCTAATTGGACATAAGAAGAAAGGGCAAGAGGTATGGCACCTGGAGATTTGGGGGAGGTTGACTTCACTGAGGTAAGATCAGGATGTTGTGGGTACAAATATTTATTCATGTTTGCAGCTGCCTTCTCTGGATGGACTGAGGCTTTCCCAACTAAAAGAGAAACAGCCCAGGCTGTTTTTTAAAGAAACTGCTTGAAGAAATTATTCCTAGATTCATATTCTAACTGTCATAGGATCAGACAGTGAACCTCCCTTTATATCTCATGTGGTCCAAGGGGTCACTGAGGCCCTGGGAGTAAACTGGAAACTTCATGGTTCTTATCACCACCAAAGTTCATATAGATAGAAGGGATGGATCAGACCCTAAAGGAGACCTTGAGTAAATTAACCCTGAAGGCTGGCGAGTACTAAGTGTCACCCCTTCCCTTTGCCCTCCTCTGGGCTAGAACCCCTTTCACAGAGGGTCTAACCCCCCGGGAGATAATATTTGGAAGGATCCCTCCCATTTGCCCCAAACCCGGGTCTGATCTAAATGCAGAAGTGTCTAATTTGCCTTACTCCAATCAGTGCCAGCACCACAAAGAACTCAGGACAGACTGCACCCATTACTCCTCCACCTGTGTGGCCTGCTGCCTGTCAAACCACATGACCACCAACCCAGGAGGTCTAGTCTGGGTGAAACATTAAAAAAAAAAAAACACACACACACACAAAAACAACTCTGGGTCCTGGCTGGAAAGGCCCTCACGTTGTGATCCTGACTACCCCAACTGCAGTCAAGGTCAATGGCATCAAGCCCTGGATTCATCACTCCCAGGTCAAATCGGTCTCCAGTCAAGAAGCCCAAGAGATGACAATTCACCACGAAAGGACTTCTGAGATTCTGAGGACACTCTAATGCTAAGACTCAGCTCCTAATAACTCCTTTTCCAATTCGGGGCAGGAGGGGCAATACTCAGGACCCTGTCAGTTCAAGCTATATATCTGGAGGCTGTCAAATGCTTAAACGGGACAGATCGTTTCAGAGATACACCAGGAGATGTGCATCTTGGGCTCTAAATTTAAATTAGACATTTGGACCCTATGACCTACTAGAGGGGTCACCCTCTATGTCCCCCACAAAGGGAAAATATCCTAGGGTGCCTGACTCACTGGACAGAAGCAGAGAAAAATCCCTGGGGCAAACAGTGTTATGTCTGTCCAGCAGAACAGGGGTCTGCATGCAGTACTAAGGGTTATTCCTTATGAACCTGATAGATGAAGACCCAGGGATGGAGTTCACCATCCAAAAACTATCTTTGCTTAGTCCTCCTAGATTCATGGGACTTCTGGTCAAAATAAAGGATCAGACACCATCTCTCCCCACAAAAAGAACCAGATATTGGGGTCTCAACCACAGCCAGCCCCAATCAGGGAACCAGAGAACACCCCCTTCCCACCTCCAGACCCTGCTCAGTCGCAGCTATCACCCTTATCTGGTATAGCCAATGCTACTTGTATCTATCGAATGCCATTCATCCTAACCACGTGGTTGACTGCTGACTTTGTCTAGACCCCAGACCTGTTACTACATCAGGATCACCCTCACAGAAAGTTCTGGCCCCCATCCACCACATAAGTAGTTTCCCTTGCATCCTCACAAGCTTTTTGCCCTCGGACGTCCACCCTGACTCTGGGGACACCTGGGAAGAAGGAACCTGTTTTTGCTCTTCCAGCTACCCTCTGGCAACCTATGTTCTCCTGAGCACCAGGTGGGCTGCTCTAAATGAAAGCACCCCTTTGGCTGCTCCTACCCCACCTCGGTTTTCTTGTACCTTTGACTTAATGCCCTTCCTCTCTGTAGAGAATTTCATGGAAAAGAAAAAAACCTGAGCTTTGTGTGTTGGTTCATACCGTGTCTCAAGCCTTGTATTATAAGGGAAAGTGGGGAGGATGCACATGGGAACCATAAACTTGCTGCACACCAAGAAGGCACCTCCCGTCCTCTGTTCCCCTCACTGGGTCAGCATCCTCGGGACATCAGCCTTACTCACTAAGGACCACAGACTATGGATCCTGAGTGAACAAACTGACAGAGATATTTCCCATCTCCATTCCTGAAGAGTCAAGTTGACTCTCTGACAGAGGTGGTCCTACAGAACTGGGAGGGCAGGGCTGGACCTACTTTTCTCTGAGGAGGGAGGTTTATGTATGGCCTTGGGAGAGACATGTTGCTTTTCTGTCAACCGGCCAGGTGTTATTAGGGAGACTCTAACAAACATTAAAGAAAATCTCCACATTAGGGAGGAGGAAAGAAAACAAAATTCTAATTGGTTTGAATACTTTTCAACTGGTCCCCCTGGTTGTCAACCCTCATCACAAGTCTAAGAGGTCCCCTGACCCTCCTGCTCCTTGTTCCATTATTTGACCCCTGTGTATTATTTGACCCCTGTGTTATTAACGCTTTTGCATACTGTGTTCAGGATAGCATAGACACTGTCAAACTCATGTTATTTTTTTTTAAATAATAAAGTCTATATTAGCTGGGTGGTGGTGACGCACACCTATAATCCCAGGACTTGGGGGGCAAAGGCAGGTGGATCTCTGTGAATTTGAGGCCAGCCTGGTCTCCAAGAGCTAGTTCCAGGACAGGGAAGGCTGTTACACAGAGAAACCCCTGTCTTGAAAAACAAACAAACAAAAAAAGCAAAAACAAGCAAACAAAAAGTTATATTTACTCAGTGTCAATGTCTTGGATATTTAGATCAACAATATGCATTACTTATTAGTCTAATTTACCTGCAAAGAAAGTTTTCTCCAGTCTGCCTTTGTGATCTTCTTGAGCCACTCTGGCGCGGCAGACCTCAAGGCTTTTCCTAGACTAAAGTGCTTGAGGGTGGAGGTAGAGGAGGGGGAAATTAAAACACAAGCAATAAACACGGGTAAAGCTGTGCCCCCAAGCTCAACAAATCATGAAATAACTTTCCATCGTTTAGGACTGGAAGGTGTGTGGGCAGTCCTTTTGCCAGAGTCCTGGCCTCCCTCCCTCCCAGCCCACAGCAGCAGCCATTCTTAGAGCGTCCACCAAGTCCTGACGGCCTTGTCACCCACGCTCCGCAGCTTCCATCACTGAACAAACTCATGATTTCAACCCCTTGTTTGAGACCCAAGGTGAGGTGGGAATGTTGGGAACAGATAAAAGAAACTTAGCCCAAGTACTGCCATTTTGTTTCAGACTCCATTTTAATCATAAGGTGAAGTTAAGTTCAAGTTCCCAGGGCCTAGGGGAGCTGGGGACTTTCTAGTACCTGACCAGCTTCCTCAGTAAACAATAAAAATAGCCTGCAAAATAGCTCGTTATTCTTCTGTTCCCCCAAATAGTAGATGTTTCTAATCACAAAGAACAAATAAATTTGATTGGTTGTGGATTTGAAGAACCACATAAGGAAAGTCCCCAGTCCCTGAAGTTTGAGTGGTGGAAAATTATCATTATAACTTGGCACAGATGGTTGTGGGGCTTGTGCTTAAACACGTGCTGAGATGAACGTTTAGGGACACGGTCAGCTCCCCAGTCTGTGCTATTGTCCCTGACTGATCAGTTTCTTCCCCCTTTCCTCATTTTCCTGCTGCCCAATTCAATAAAATCTTGCTTTGTGCGCACTCTGGTGCTTTCTTGGGTTATTTCATATTTTCGGATCCTGACAAGATCACAAAATCTC